CAGGACTATTGGCATTGCATGTTCTAATAAAATTTATGGCGAACTAAACAAGGAAGCTTTTCAAATTTGGCATAGTAGTATAAAAAAAAAACAAAAAAAATCTAAAGTAGGTCACAACATGGAAAAATATAAGTATTGTTGCATTTCTGGAGTACACGAGACGAATTGAATTTAGTAATGTTGATTGAGATTTTTTGGGTAATAAGCTCTAAATTTTCGAGCAATCAAATTGCTCAAAATACCGCTTTTGGTAATATGTTTCACATACTACTTTGCACTTTTCTATTTTTTTTTAAATCCCGATGTTCAAAATTTAATCGTATCATCGTAACATTGAACATAATATAAAAAAACAAAGGTATCATAAATTTTTGGGTTCAGAAAAACTTAGGATTCTAAATTTTTGATTTCCACGATTACTCAAGATGAAATAACCTTGAGGTTGTACCTTATTTGAAATGGAACATCCAGAATATTATTTCGTTTTTGGATTACCTAGAAAATTTAATGTTTTCTTCCTCAACAGGTAGTCGTCAAATTTTAAACGGATTTGAGCCACCACTACGTCGGTTGCTGATTTTAATTTAAATTGAACTGCGACCGACGTAAAAAATACTTTTTTGGGTGTTCGAAAGAAGTTTCTACCTCAAATATTCTTGCGATGGAAATTTTACTGATAAATATGGTCAGGGTAAAAGGAAAAAGTGCGTGGACTTTCTGCAATTAAAAAAAAAGAAATGAGTCTCCAATTTTAAATCACTTGCTTATTTATCTATTACAAATTAGGGTTGCAATCCGTACAAATGACCCAAGATCCATTAATAGCATGCACTTTAAAAGTTAAAAAAGAACCGTAGGTAATATTTAACTTTTGTCCATTTTGGTAGGATTTTAAGAAGTGTGAATGGGATATAACCTTATTTACAACATTGCACACTGCACTATTTAGCAATTTTTAGCTGTTGATAAACGCTTAGTGGACAGAAGAACAAGAATGACACTTGACAATGTGAATAAATATTTATGGCGTGACCTACCTCTCATTTTGTTTTTCGAAATAAGATGTCGAACGACAAAAATTCACTTTTTAGTTGCCAAAAAACAAAAATAATTTTGAGACATTATGATTGATGAAAAACATAAAAGCTTGATTACAATAATTGTCACCACTATTTTGGTTCAAAATGTTCATTGCAAAACGGACCTTCGAAGTGCATTCGATTAATAAAAGCATACAAATACAATTCATTATTCGTTTGAAGATTCTTAGAGTATATCTAGTCTTTTATACGGCCACAGAGGTCAATAATATCAAGATAATTAAAAAATCAGTGCCAATTGGAATTAGGTTTGAATGACTGAACTCGGTAGTTGGAAATCCTGTAAGCAATAAGTCAATTCTCGGTATCTATTTTGGAAATAGCATTCTTGCGTGTCCGTTTACGACATAAATATTTACCCCCAGTCAAAAATGTCATATCTTTCAATTTTGTGCAAAATACTGAATAATGAAATTTTATACTGGGTATTTCATTCAACTAGCCAAAACTATCAGTTTTCTTTGTATATTAGTATATTGAAAATGTTTGTTCCTCTTACCTCTAGTGGTTTAGTTTTTGTGCCGTTTATTTTACAAAATTTGACATTTGAATAACAACCAGTCAAAGATTTTACTATTTTTTATCATTATTGTTAATTATTGTTCTTCTCAAAAATGTTTTGCTGAGAATAACGCAGGAGTTTCAAATATTCCTTACTGAAAGTCGGCAGCTATTGTGTAAACCAATGCCACAGTGCAATCGACAAAAGATACCGAAGCTAAAATATTCAGCCGCCACCTGATGCGCATTGATTTAGGATTTGCCGCGATTTAGACGGATGGACAGCTGGAAATTTTCACAAACCACATATTTGGTAGTAGCCTAGTGAATAATTCGTTTAGCATTGTTATCTTTTTATATTTAGTAAAGTCGACATCTTCACGCTTCTCTCTTTATTTGATGGGAATTAACAAACTAATACGTTTAGCGTTTAGGTCTTGTCTTTAAGGTCTTTAAGGGATTTTTATAATATTTTTTGGCGAAATATCACGATCAGACACCCATTTTGGACAATGCATTAAAAATATTATTTATACGCGTTTTGATGACCAGCATATTGCCGGTGTCTCAAATATAAGAAAAATAGAACTTTTCGGTAATAAACAGTTATATTGACTTGTGATCAAAATTTTCTATGGAATATTTGGGAACTCACTGAAACTCAACCCAAAATTAAAAAAAAAAACAAAATTTCGGCACTAGCAATATACTGACAGAAAATTCGATCGAAACTGAACTAAAAACTTACAAATTTTATAATAGAAAAAAACGGCTGTTAATGGAGATTTTTATAGTCCTCTTGGTCATTTATAAGAACGGGAGAATCGAGAGTTCTCATTGTTTAGGCTTCATTTACCGATATAATTCATTTGCATTATTTGATGATGATTTAACGAACATTTTCTATTTCTTGGAAAGGGGAAGAAGAAATTTAAATTTTCTTGAATTGAGAAATAATATCACAGTTATATGCAGTATTAACTTGTATGAAAAACAATAGAATACCTATTACTACTCGTCCCATTAAAAATAAATGTGGGTGCACCAAATTGATATTGGTCCTAATACAGAGCCCATTCCACTTTAAATCGAATTGACTGTATACTGATTACCAAAACGCGTGTTGTCCGTTCTAATTTTCGGCCATTGTGCGGTGTTTGAGCAGAACAGATGTTTAAATGCGGTAAACTACATCGTAATAAATTGAAATAATAATAAGACTGGCCTTCATTTTTTCAAAATGAAATTTTGACTAATAAAATTATTTTAGGATGGCGCATTTACGACTATCCCGATATTGCAGTTTTATTATTTCTACAATAAAGCCAATCAAAACAAACGACGAGTTCTTTTTCAGGATTTTGCCGAACAGATTTTGCCATGTTATCTTGTTAATTCCACCAGATAAGAAAGAAGCATGATGTCTCTAAAATCTCTAGAGAAGTGTCCAGACCTTGAAGACCAAGCATTTTTTTTTGAAAAATTACCCGATAATGAGTAACAATGGAAAATTAAAAATTCCTGTGGTTCGGCTTAGCCCTCCTGGATGTGAAAATCAGTTACTCCTAGTTCCGCCATCGACTAGAAGACATAGCTGGATTTGCGGGTAAGTAGACACATATTTTGTTACTTAACGAAATATAAAATCATACCATAAAACGCAATATTGATTAAGACTATGATTTGTTTTAATTGCTCAGCGTATTTTCCAAGAAAAAAACTAGCAAAGCGTACACCCTACCCATCAATTCTATGGTTGCAATATTTTTTTTCATTTATGATAGTTTTTTCAACAGATTTTTTATTTTCATTTTTCTGTTATTCTTCGCCATCATTAACTATTATTTTATTTATTTTATTGATCCCATATTCGACTTTTGCCATTTTTAGTCTATGCTTAATTGATGTTTCAAAAATGATGCGCCGATCCCGTTTGCTCGTGCTATAAGTTGATGAAAAATTCGCCGCCTTCGCAATTTATATTTAATGGAAGATAGACCCCGAATATTTGTCTTATAGGCGCGAATTATCCAATGGAAGCAGGTCAAAACGCGAATTAGCCTAGAGTCCGTAGCAACCGTACGAAATCGAATACGACTGAACTTGGTTCTTCAAATTCCCCATTGTTCTCTCACAAAGCGGTAGATCAAAAATATTCGTCAGAGAATTCGTTGGATTTTTTATATGTAGCGTCTACGCAAAATTGTTTCGAACTCATATTAATTGCTCGGTTAACGTATGATCGGGCTAATTCTTTAAAATAGCCAAATTATAACTTATTTAGCAAACATAATTAATAACCATATTGTATAATTCTAAGCGGATGATTTTTTAAAAATATATTTGTTACTCTTCTTATTAAGCATCTATTGGGTAATTCGTTTTTCTTATCAGTTTATTCAGGAATTAACTAATTTCGCGTATTATCCGTAACATACCGAAATATCCTTGTAAGTATACAGGGAGTGAATAAAATAAGCAACGCCTGCTTTACTTTCGGAACTATTGGAGATATCAAATCAAGTGTAAATTTGAAAATGCCAAAATAACGTAAAATCGTATTTTTCTTTTCCCTTCTCGAAATACCCAATTATACACCGATCGAGCGTGCGTGTCATTTTACAATGTCAGTTTCGTTACCTACGGCTGCGAGCCACTTCAGACATTTCCAGGGTACTACCCACGTGATTGGATGTTTTTGAACATTTTAGTGAATGTATACATGTTGTTTTGCAAAAATGTACCCCAAAATTAATGGTCCTAGAAAAAGTATACCATCCAGCACGTTTGATAAATTCCTTGAGTCACTCGTTTATTAAGCACTCGCTTCGCTGCGTTCTGCCAAAACAAAACTCGCAATTATACTATTTTTCGAGGTTCAAAAAATAGTTCAGTAAAATGCAAACGGCATTTTTCTATCTTCAATAATAGGGGATTTTCACTAAGGACACTCCTTACACACAATCAAAACCAAAAGTTATAGTGAAAGCATTCTATAAGCTACGAGTACTAAAGCCAAAAATCTAGAAATAGAGGAATGAATGTTTACTATCTGTGATAGCGGGACAAATGCTCGAGGATTTAATGGAAAATTACTGCAGACTACCGAAATTCATGTTTCAATATTATTTTATACCTATCGGCAAGTTAGAGTTTTTTGGGAAGCCGGGATAAAGGCGATAAAATTACAATAAAATTAAAATCCGTGATTGAAGGGTATAATACAAATTTTCATTCCAACCCAAAATCAAAAACACAGACCAACAGTTTGTAAACTTTTGAAAGTTGATTTCGATTTGACGTTTGATTCTGTATAATAAATGAAATTCTTGGTTGATTTGAACATTATTTTTATTAGTACAAGAACAAAAATCGAATTAAAAAATCTGGATTAAAAAACAAAGTCGTCTCAAACAATAGTTAAGTCCATTTATTTTTGGAAAATCTCTCCCTCTTGGCCGAAAAACTTCGTTTAGTGAATTTTCTTGAATATTTCATGGCCAGCAGTAATCCGACATCATCGGAACCTTCCATCGACCTTGATATCTGCGCTCCATTTGTTTAGTATCTTGGTGGAACCTCTCACCTTGCTTCACGGCACCAAGATTTCCGGGAAAGTAGTCCAATTTCTATAACATGTTTTCTACAATGTCTTTGTAATTTGGACATTTGTTGTTTCCTAGGAACCTTTTATAACATCACTAACTAAAATCCATGCAACTTTTTCAAATTCGATCATTTGATCAAACGCTTCATCTTCCATTAATCGCCGTATTTGAGGATCTACAACATTTCCTCCTCTAATCGTGCATCTGAGAGAGCGCGAAATTTTTTACAGCTGACCTAGTAGAAGTCCCATAATATTTAAGTCGCCAGAAATCATCGAATTATAGTCGTATTTGATTTTCTCAAGCAATAGTTGCCGATTTTCGTAGCATTTTTTTATTTGCACGGAATGAGCAACAGGTACAGAAATGAAAACATTTCTGATAAGCAAAAGAAAAGCTTTAGGGCTTCTTTTGGATGAGCCTCCGTCCTTAAAATTGTAGCCTGTAACAAGTTTCTTTATATATGAATGAAATATGAGATTTTAACGTCTTGTGTCAGTAAATTTTCATTTCGAAGTCTAGATGCTAAAATTTTGGAAGGATTCTTAGGTCTCTCACTAAGTCATTAAGTTCTGATTGTGAAAATAATTGTGGTTGCTGAAAAACACTCCACATATCAGCAACTAAGTGTCTTCATCTATTTCAGGTTCAGAAAAGATGGTGGTATATTCTTCCAAGGTGTTGTGACATCTAGGTCATGTGGCACTTGCCTAATTGACTTGAGATTCAGATAAACAAATTTTTTCAAAATTTTAGTATTATATACACGAACATTGAACATGCAGAAATAGCATGGTGATTGGTTGGCTCTCTCCATATTATAGATATTCCAAAAAGTAGGGATCGCCTGATTTCATTATTCTAATGTCTTAAACGTTCTTCACATACCTTACAAACAATATTCGGCGCCCAAAATTTGTCTTGATCACCAATTCTTACTTTAAAAGAGGCGTACTTTTTCTTTATAGAGAGGTGAAATTTTAGATCTATATTTCTTGACCACAAAAGAACCACACACATAGCAAAACCTATCTGGAATATTTTTTACAAAGTCTTGGCATTTGTTCATGCCACCGCGACCCGACGCGGCAATGTTTTGACTGTATTTTACATTCTGGGATTCCCTGCGAATATTCTCTTAATTTATGCAAAATGTTATGTTATGTAATGTTCCTCTTTTTAAAACAATAAATATGACATATCAAAAATTAATTCAAAAATTTTGTGTGATAGAAAGACAAGAACATAGTTCTGCAAAAAATATGAAAAATGTAAAATCACAAAATCTTGGTTGGCCTGTGTATTAGGACACGTCCTATTTGGCCAGGTTTATAGGTTACTTTCAATGACAATGTACATTATACTATTTTTTGATAGTCGAATGAACTATTATTAAACATTATTATCGAAAGATAATATTTGAAACCATTTTTTTCACCATTTCACAGAGATGCATAACTTTCGTTTGTAACAGTAAATTTTTATTTACAGCTATTCGGCTATGGAAAAGCATGTTTTATTTTCAAAATTAACGTTTATATCATAATTTATTTTTAAAAAAATCTGTTACCATCCCTAGTGCATGATAAGGGGTTTTTTGATAGTAGCCATCTAGATGCAAAGATAGACACAGACAAAATTCAATTCGTTATCTTAATTTCTTAAATACCTTGGTCAGGATAAGTCAAACTTCTGATCGTACACAATAATAGCACAATGCGTTTCGTGATACCAGAAAATTACGAAAATAATTTAAACACAAAATTCATAAAATGAAAATAAGTTAACAGCAGTTGTTTTTCAACGCTATACCTAACCGAGAATCAAAATTAATTTATCCATTCAACCCAAAACCAAATTGAACTAAGGAAAAAATTACCCTCACAATTTTTTTCCCGCTTATTTCGTCCGTCCTATACATTTGAAAATATTTTCCTGATATATCATTTTATACGAATAGTACGAGGACTACTTTGTATATTTCGGAATTTGTAATTAAAAACTATAAGCTACCAACAAATATGACTTTATTGTTTCTCAAAACATTCGCCATGATGATCAATACACTTTTGCATTCGATAAAACTCACCATCTTTTCCCATATCGATTCGGGCACCTCCAAAACATGCTTTTTAGACGCATCACTCGCTTCTTCTGGTGCCCACGTAATTTATTTTAAATTTATGGGAAAAAAAGAAATGATTAGGTGCTAAATCAGGACTATATGGTGGATGGCTCATCAAATTAACGTTTTTAATGCTCCAAAAGTTCTTTGTTTGCGCTGATCGGTGAGAGCTAGCATTGTCGTCGTGGAGAGTGATTCATCTTCGGCAGTTGGTTCCTTTCGTTGGTTAATTTCTTTTAAGACTTTCGGCAAATAAATGGTTTCACCAAAGAGACTGTTGCAGCGTTACCAGTTTTCCTGAAACAAAAAGCTACCATTTGTTTCGAGGTATTTCGCGCACGAACAACTTTTGTGATCTTAGTCTGAAAGACCCACACAGTCGACTGCTGCTTACTTTCAGGTTCACATGCGTGGGCCTATGAATCATCACTTGTCACAATATTATAGACGTGTTTGCAAGCACCGCGGTCGATTTTTTTTAGCATTTCCTTCGACCAATCAACATACGCCTTTTTTTGAGCTGATGTCAAATTCTGTGGAATTCAACGCTACCGGCCAAATGTTCATACAAAATTGTATGTATGCTCGTCTCAATAATGCCCAAAAATACCTCAATCTCATGGTACCTAAGTCACTTGACGATCCTGCCAAATCAGTATTCATACGGCATGAATGTTTTCTTGGACAACTACGACCACGACTGAAGCCAGAAAACCAGCGATATATAGTGGTCTTAGATGGTGCTTTAACTCCAAAATTCGAATTAAGTTCATCGATGCGATTAAGTTCCATTTTTAACAGTCACAATTTTTAAAATTTATTACAAATAACACAAACAACACTCTTTCTCCAAAACCCAACTGAGTAAACCTAACCTCAAAATGTCAAACTTCCCTATAAAAACGTTAGTCGACAGATGGCAGGAATAGTTTAAGAAAATCCCGAAATATAAAAGGCAACCCTCGTATATAGATTCGAATCGACCGATGCGTGATCGTCCAAGTACCAACTAAGCGAGCCGCGGCCAGATGAAACCGAGTGACTACGAAAGGATATTATATTTCATCTCATTCATTGATTTTATTAGTTAGTTATTGCATGGAATAGATCACACACACTCATCTTCATTCGCCTCGCTGTAAAGTTCGATTGGAATATAGAATTTGATTGGGATGTCGCATCGATATTACAGACGTGGAATAGATGCGACGTCTGATTGTTCTGGTTTAATTAACTAGTGAAATAGATTAAGAGCGTTGATTAGTAGTAGTCTATTGTATTGTTTTAATAGAACTTAATTTTAAAAATCGTAAAATAAAACATTTCAGGAGAGTACAGCAATGTGTACATAGAATACTAAGGTTAGATATTTCTGTTTATTGCTATCATATTTAATATATCAATAAAGTTAGAATCAGAAACTTCTTCTTCTTCTTCTGAACATCGATGTTGTAACATTTACTTCTCTAAGGACCCTTTAACTGATAGTTCTTCGGTAATCTTAAACAGATTAAGTCATTGAGAGATTTTGACGTGAAACAAATAATTGATCCATTATTATAAAGCTATTATATCCTGAATTAAGAAATATTTGGGGGAGGTACCTATCTAGGGATCTCAATTCTCAATCTCTCAATCTCTCTCCTTTTTTTCCCAAGAAGCAGTGCGCAACCACCAGAATCTTTTAAATTTTGTAGGCTCAGATATCTGTGATTTTTCTTCTTGTACTAATCCAGCAATGCAGTTTACAGTGGGTACTATCCACACTCACATTTTGATTAGTAATAATAAAATCGCACAGCAACAGCTTTTTACTTAGTCTAGTGAGTGTAGTATTCGAAATTTAAAAATCTTAGATTTGAGAAAACAAATTTATGGAATTTTTAATATTTTAACCCTTTGCCAGTGGTAAATTTTTTTAAGAAAATATCACAAACTGCTTGATTGTATGTTTCCGAACTCTTCTAGGCATTCATTTCCTAAATTGTATATGCATTTTTTGTATGTACTAAGTACATTATTATGTCTGGATATAACTTTGGAGGAAAGGAGTTGTTTACATTGAACAACTCCAAAGGTTTATTTTATATGGATGTACACCAATAACAGACATTTCTTGCAACTATCTTTCTTTATGACCACTCTGCTCAAAGGAGTGTTCATATAATTGAACGTTATTACTGATTTGCCTTTCTAAAATTTCGCAAAAACTCTCTAATGTTTTTTTAACTTACCTAATTAATACATTTAACCAAACGAAACTATTCACAATAAATAAAAATCACTAATTCCGGGGGACATTCTTGTTCGTGGAGTTTTTCGAGTCTCGAGTTACGTTCCGCAGAGTTGCGTTTTGCTTAGTTCTACGAAAGATTGCGTTTTGTATTATGATGTCCTCCGAAGAGAATATAAATGTTGATTGTCGCTTATGAAGAGAAACACACAGAGTAGAGCAATCCTGTATGATCAAATGAAGACAGATCTAATAAGAGAGGCCAACCTAAACCCCATCAGCTTGAACCGGAGCAGAGGAAGCAAAGAATGTCCGCCAGCTCAGAGGAAAGACGCCTCATTAGTCACAGTTGGCTTTAGCAGAGCGATTCGGGAGCGGATTTATACTAAAGGCAAAATTAAAACCCGCGGGTAGACATATTAAAATTTAGGCGAATTTCAGTGTAATCGCCGCAATATGTGAAGCCTGGCTGTCGTAGTGAATTTCCCCTAGTCGGCAAATTCGAGCGAAGTGCGCACAGGTCACTTGCAAAAATGCTTATAACGTTTTGTTTTTATTGTTATACAGGGCGGCCAAAGTAGTTTTCATTTACTTTTCTAAAATATGCAAAAAATGAGTACGGCATTATATAACAAATATTAGGTCCATACTTTCGGAAGTGACTCATGTAGGTAAATTTATATATTTATGGTTTATGGAAACGTCATTACAGCATAAAGTAAAAAGTATCTTATGTATATAAATAAATAAATATATTTTTTTTTTCACGTATTGATTCAGGGTTGGAAAAATGTGATGACACTATATTCCGGGATATCATCTGTTCGCTTGTTGCAACAACTTAATTGCTTACCAAGGTAGCCCACAAACCATTTAAAAGAAAAAACATCTTGTTCAGATTTACAATGTCAAATTTACACCACTCAAGAGGAAAACGTCTGCTTGAAATTTGAACCGTTATCAGCAACAGTTATCACTCGCTATTCATTTTTACCAATGTTTTTTTTAATATCCTGTATTCCAAGCACAAGCTTTAGCACACTGCGTTCTTGTTCGAGCAGCAGTGTATCACTTTGTGCTCTTAATAAATAAATGACTATTTAAGCGTTATTTAGGTTTACGCTCGTAAGCAACCGTTCCAGACGCAATTTTAAAAAGCTCAAATACAAGGAAGATTCTAGTCTTGCGATTTATTCCATTCTTTCTAGATATTTTAGGTAAATCTTTAAACATATAAATAATGCATACTTATTTCGGTTAGTCTCCTCTTGAAACGCAAAAATATCAGATGGTATTTATAAAAATCAAGTAGGTTCGTTCAGGTTTCCCCAAATTTAATCTCCATGGTTTGATAATTTTGGTTTCTTTACTTTCATTTTGTACTTCTTGTTCATGGTGTCTCAAGTTTTTTATTTTATTCCATTGATTATTACGTTCATTTTTTGAAGTAAGTATGTGGAAATGTATAGTCAATGAATGCAGAATTATTCTGCATCCCAAATTGTTAACTGCTCTTTTTGTACTTCCATATTATGCATGTGTTTATGAATAGTTAGAAATCGTTAACGAGTACAGTGCGGCCCGAGTAAATAAAACCAATAACCTATCAAACTTTGTCAAAATCAATGCTAATAAAAAAAACCGTTAAATGGCATAGGCAATCGATGCATTACGTCATATGTTAAAATACAGTCCATCGTAAATTTTGGAATACCTGTAAGCAACAAATCAAGTCGCAAAAATCAGTTTCGAAAGGATGATTCATCTGCTTCCGTATACTGTACAGGCGATTGTCACAAGTCAGAAATCGTTAAGTAGGCAACATTAAAATCATCTTTCAACATTTAAGAAAGATCAAAATATCTAGCAAACCATTGAAAATTAATATAATGAATCTTTAAGAAACATGCCAAGAATTTTTCTCAGAAATCAAAAATTAAATAATATAGCGGGTGTTCTATTTATAATAAGGAAGTTAGTACTTTCGTTTAAATAATTTTTTCGTCCGAGGGTTATTATAAATACCGTTTCAATTTATAACTGAGAACTTGTATACATAAGCATCGTAAAACAACATTGTCGTTCTGGTTATAAATTGGTTTAAATAAAAATGATTTCTAAATGCCTAATGCCTTTCTTCTTGCTTAAAGCTCACTTGGAAAAATTCTTTTTCTTTTATTTTCCCCCTAATAAACTTGAAAAGATTGATTTGCTTCAGTTGAAACTTTTTCTATATAAATTACACATAAATCATGTCCTAAATCTGTAAAGCTACAAATCTCGCAAGGTATCGATCCACACGCTGTGAGGATTGAAGTGTAAACTATTTGTATCGTATTTGAATGCCACGGATTATTTTCGGGAATAAATCCGATATGTGAATTGCACCTAGCGTGATTTGTTTAAATTTGAATAAATTTGAATAATATTGAACATAAAATTTGTATAGGACACTGAGACGTAAATTATTAAATAGTATTGCAATTCTAATACTCAAAACTGTGTAATATTTTAGACTGTTGTACTCATTTCACGCGTGGATCCTGAAATTGAAAACCCGCGAGTACATGTCTGTGATTCGTACGGTTTTTTAAGTACTTTCTGCCCTCCTGCCGACGTGACCGCATTTATACTCCTGATGAATATGAGAAGTTAATATTGGCTTCTAGAAAAAGACAACCATTTCACCAGTTCCAATAAAGAAACATTTGCTGTATCAATTCCGGTATGAAAGTGCTAATCTGGGATATGTCAAAACGTTCGAATAAATGGATGGTTTACGTTACGTTATTTTTAAATTGTTTAAGGAACATAAGTAGAGCCCAGATTTTTCCAATAGTAATGCATATAAAAAACCTGTACCGATTAGTGAAAAAAGAAAAAAAACTTGGATATCAAGAAGGTAATAAACATAAATTAATCAATAAATATTTACCTGTTAATTTTTATAATAGAGGATTGAACTCAAAACCCATACAAGTCCATCCCCTCTTATTATCTCTGATTGGTAGTTGATTTCATTTTCTCAAAAACTCACTGTACGGGTTTCGATCTTGCAGATTCA